TAGCTCTATTGCATATGCATATTTTCACATGTATGGAATGGAAAAGGCTCTTCGAAAAGTAGCGATTTTCTCGTGAATGCTCAAGCTGATTATACTAGCCCTTCGTCAGACGAAATGAATTGTGAGGGGTAGGATTGTCGTAGTGTTTGTTGCCGCAGACGGAGAGATAGATAGGCGTCTTCGTGAGGGAGTTGTGTATCGTGTTGTGATGGGTACCGGAGGTGAGATGTTTTGGGTCTTAGTGGTGGCTCACCGTGACGGAAGGATAGAAGGGAATGCCATGTCGGTCAGATTCTACATACCCTGGCATGCATTAGCAGCTGTCGTCTTTGAGGCGGAGTCGTTGACCTGCCGGTTACCATCGGGTATATTAATCATCATAGAAGGCGCTCACCGATCAGGCTATGGAAAGTACTCGTCCCGTTTTGCCCTTAGACTCTTACTTGGCCTCATGGCTACTAGTGGTATAGGTAGATAAGTTGAGGCCGACATAGTCATGTGAGGCTCAAATGACCATGTCTCATTTGTTAGCGTTATCAGCCAGTCAAGCCTGACCCCAGAGGTGTAGCACCTGATGTTCGAACCTGGGATCTTTGGTCTTTGAGTCTGTCGTTCCACCATTGAGCCACAGGCCTGCTTTTCTGTCAGTTGTGACCGGGAATATTAATTATGGTGGGTGGACATTCACTGATTAGGTTACGGGACATTCCGTACTACTAGTCGCTATGCAACTGCTTGCGAGACAAGCACGTTCCGTAACCCAATCTTTGAGCACCCATGTACTATAATTAATATTTCCGGTCACAACCGACGGGACAACGGACCCCTGGCGCAGTGGTATATCCTTAGACTCAAGACAAATGACCCCGGGTTCAAATCTCAGGTCCTCCTCCACACCTGGCTGACGATGGCTAACAAAACAGAAATGGCCACTTTGATTGAACATGCCAGTTCTATTCAAATTCATTAATCACTAACAGGGCCTCATCATCCGCGCTTGTCTCCCGGGGAAAAGAATGCATCACAATCATCAGCGCCTACGCCGCCCCAATGACCAAATTCGATGAGACAAACAAATTCTACGAGGACCTGGAAGTTCTCCTATCGTCTGTACCGAAGGCGAACAACCTTATTGTCCTTGGTGGCTTCGACGGGGCAGACCACGCTGTATGACAGGGAATGTTGGACCTCCCTGAACTCGGCGATTGGGCAAGGCTCGAAAACGAGGTCCTTCTGGGAAATGGGCAAGTTCGGTGTGCTCAATACGGAAACCGTGATAAAACGAGCTTTATGAATGGGGCTGCGGGAAAACAGTGAAGAACGTGCGAAAGCAAAGAGGAACCTTGGGTATTATGTGTCAAAGCACCAGTTTGTTTTAGTGGGTACCGAAATTTCAGCGTAAACAGCGCGCAGTACAAAAGTCTACTGCAGATAAGAAGTAAAAACCAATTCCACGAAGAATATAGGCGATTGGCTCGTCAAGCTCATCGAAACTAAACCTCTCAGGAATGTGACCCATCGGACGTAAGCCGTAGCTGGAAGCTATAGGAAGCGGGTGACAAGTGACCAACCTACCCTAACCGTGAACCCTATTCCTAACCGTAAAACCCGAAGCCTAACGCAATTGTGAATCATAGCCATGGCAGGCCGCGAAGCACCTCAGACTGAAAGTTCTGTAAGTAACATTAGGCCTGCTAAAATCAATGATAGTACGAAGGTGATAATTTGCTGACCAGGCAGGACCACATTTTCGAGCCTCATCGACGACTACAACCACAGTTTCCTCCTTCAGATACGCACAGAACGCCGCCCGCTGCTCCTATTCCCCTCCTTCTTCTCCCTCCGCCTCCCCACGTTCACCAACTTTCTTCATCATGTGGCCCGTGAGAAGTCAACGTCGATGTATTCCCGATCGCGACGCTTACAGATTATGGACCACGTTCTCTTTTGAAGGCGAGATCTACAGGGCGTCCTGGTAACCAAGGAGTCCTGTGGTGCCGACGGCTGGACGGATCAAAGCCTCGTCTTCTTCAAGGTTGTGTTCCGTTTGCAACCTCGCAGGAGACTGAAAGGCAAGCGAACATCTGATAAGTCAACTACTGTTCTGTCGATCTTATCCGCTTGCTATTTCGAGCCCAGTAATCAACCGGCCAAGCGCCTGTGGGAATTGCAGGCTGCGAACCATAAAGCTGCCTCGGAGGCACAGTGGTGTCAAACAAATAACGAAATTTACTATTAAGAGTGCTCTGGGTCGCGCATATCGCCAACGCCAGTACTATTTTGACGGAAATAGCAGACAGATCACCGATCTGGTCGCCGTGATAAAAAAAAGTTGCTCAATACCTACATCAACTGATGGGCCTACACAGACGAAGCGCACTTCTACAAGTGCCGCCGTCTTCTACAGCGACGGCTGCAGGAGATGGGGAATGTGGGGTGGATCACAAGACCAGGGGAATCCAAGGATTTGCAGACTGCAATGAAACGAAGATTTGCTTTATATTAATCAGGACAGTCTACGAACTCACAACCAAATGAACCTCGTTTCCTCTCAGCTCCGAGGGCATGACACTCCTCAAGGAGAAGTCTAAAATTTTGAAAGGCTGGACTGAGCACTTCATGCGCGTCCTCAATCACCCTTCCACAATCTCCGATGCAGCCATTGACCGGCTTCTCCAAGTGCAAACGGACAGTGAGCTGGACCGTCTACTATCCCTTTCAGAATCCGTCAAAGCCGTGTAACAGTTCGTCAACATGAAGGCGCCGGGATCCGATGCAATACCGGCCGAAGTTTTCAGACATAACGACCCTCGGCTGTTGGACAAACTTGCAACGATACTCCAGATGTGACGTCAATGAGAAGTTGTATAGGATTTTAAGGACGGGAGCATTGTCCATTTCTACAAGCGCGCAGGAAACCGGCAACTTCGTGAAATCACAGAGGAATCTCGTTGTCCAATATTACCTAGAAAATCTTTGCTCGTATCTATCTCAATCGTCTCGACGATCATCTGGGACACGGAATTCTTGCGAAAGGCCTGTGTGGTTTCCAACGAGACCGCGAAATCACCTACACGATCTCTGCAACCGGCCACCTGCAGAGGAAGTATCAAGAAATGCATATCAGCCTCTACACAATATTCGTCGACCTGACGAGAGTTCGACGCCATGAAACGCTATAGGCACCGGAAAATCTTACAGGAATTCGGTTGTTATGAACAATTTGCGCACATGGGCGTCAAGACTGCGACGGAATGATGGTGCGCGTAAAGAATAATGGTACATCCACAGAAACGTTCGCAGTGGCCAAGAAAGTGATTTGTGGATGTATACTCTTTCCTACACCTTTCAGTCCTGTGTCCTCAGTCGTATCGGTGGACGCCTTGGGGTGTACAATGGGTTACCAAGGTGCGGGCTGGACTGTGCCATCCACCTGCGTCCTCCCTCGCCGTCGGTCCTCTTGACTATGTCTTGACGCCGAGCCCAGGGTGGGGGAGCAGTAGAGAGTGCGGTGGATGCTACACGCTCTACATTGGCTATGTGATGAATCACGCGCAAGTCACCGCGCCTGCTTCATCTTGCTGTGGAACACACGATGGACTTCATCGGATGCCACGGTCGAGTTGTCGGTGGACGCCTGCCGTGACATGCCCCCTGAGATCGACGTCGTATATGAGTCCGACAAGCGGCTTCTCAACATCCGAAAAATGCAAGCACCCACGCGGATGTCAACATCCAGTTCCAATGAACTTATCTTTGCTGACGACTGTGCTTTCAATGCCACAACAGAAACCTTTGTGTAACAGAGCGTGAACCTCTTCGCCTCCGGATGCGTAAAATTCGGGCTGACCGTCAATATGGCAAACATTGCGATCATGCGCCAGCCGCCGCCCAAAACTGAATACGAAAAATTTCGCACCACCGCCAACGGTACCCAAATCAAAAGTGAACAAATTTGCCTATTTTGCCAATAAATCATCACACAGCATCAAACTCGAGCACAAATGAGCACAGCGGGTTTTTAAAGCCGACCGTTTTTTCGACCAGTTTCAGGCCTCCCTTTGGAATCGTCTTTGTTTCCACCTCAACCTTAAACTCGGAATGCACGAAGCTGTCACCCTGACAATGTTGCCTTACGAGGCGAAGATCTGGATAGTCTACGAGAAACAGGTAAATAAACTCAATCCCTTCCACCTAAGTTGCCTCCGGGGACTGTTAAATCTGAGATGGCAGGATGGGATCACGGACGCAGGCGTGCTCATGCGAAACGTAATTCTCAACATCCACGCCATGCTGAGACAACTAAAACTGCACTGGAACGGCCACCACATGAGGATACATGACGATTGCCGTCCCAATGCGACAGATCTACGGTGGTGTCGCTACTGGTTCTAGCCAACGCTACGCATAAAAACGATACTACCACGACACGCTGAAAACTCAGAAGATGAAGATGCGATCACCGGAACAACGAATTTATTTGCCTGACGTTTCGGATCCTTACTCGAATCCATCATCAGAGACATTAGCAGATAAAGGTGATTGTGGCACCAGGAGTGCAGTATTTATAGCACGTGGCTGCCGTGGGACCGCATGCGCACTGCAATTAACAGTCCTCGTAATCACCGCTGCGGCCGTAATTGATGCGGTGGTGGCTTGTCGGTCCGGATCCGAGTCGTTAATTGCCGCGATTTCGTCATCCGTGCTGGATGCTGGTGTGACGATTGCTCGGCAAACTGGCTCACTGTCACCGTGATGATTGCTCGCCCGCGCCCTCCCCACGTGACTGATTCTCCTGCCCAGGGAAAATCGCAGTACGCAATAGGGTACCGGGAGATCATTGTGCTTGTTGATGGATTGCGGGCCTGAGAACCATGACTCGAGCAGCTCGCGGCTCACGGGGTTGTCACCCCTTGCGAGGATTTCGGCCTCTTGAAATTTGAAAATATGCCCGGGTCCCGTCGAGTGTGCCGCCACTTGAGAGTTAGCGTCTCCCCGCCTCACTGCTGCTGCGTGCTCGGCAATTCGCGTACGGAGTAATCTCCCAGTTTCTCCGACATAATTGCTTTGTTCGCAACTACACCAGAGCCGGTAAATGACTCCAGACGTGTCCTGCCGTGGCAGCGGGTCTTTTGGCCCCATGACTTGGCGCCTAATGGTTGCTTCCGGCCTGTGTGCAACCCAACTCCAAGTGGAGTGAGAAGACGACTGACGGCTTCCGAGACGTTCTTCACGTACGGAAGAGCCCGCCAAAATTTGGGTCCGGTTGGATTTGGTCTCTGGTGTCCTTTTCGTATGCACTGGTTGACAAAGCTGCGCGGGTAACCATTGGCTCTCATTACTCGTCGAAGATATTGTAGTTCAGCAACCTTGCCTTCCATTTCACTGCAGTGCGTCTCAACGCGCCGGTATAGCGCCCTTACGCAACTGCGTTTGTGACTGATCGCGTGGTTGCTATTGAAGTTCAGTATTTGCGTCGTATTTGTCGCTTTCCTGAACACTTTGGTTTTTAGGCCACCACAATCTTTGCGGCAGACGAGGACATCCAGGAAGGCCAGCTGATTGTTTTCCTCCTCCTCCATCGTAAATTGGATGTCCGGGAATACGGCGTTGAGTTGTTCTTTGAACGTCAGCACCTGATCCCGTTCGATGACGACGAAGGTGTCATCCACATACCGAGCCCAAAATTTCGGTCTGTGGTGTCGGAAAACCAGCGACTCCAGCCGTTGTAGGACCGCCTCGGCTATGAGTCCCGAAATCGGCGAACCCATTGGCGTTCCCTTCACCTGCTCGTAGACTGTTCCGTCGAACGTAAAGTACGTCTTGAGACAGAACTTCAGGAGCTGGATGATTTGGGCGTGTCCGAGGCGATTCTCCGTTTTGTCGTATTTCTCTCGTAGGAGTAGTTCGATGGTCTCGACTGCCAGGTCCTGCGGGATAGAAGTAAAAAGGGACGTGACATCAAAGGAAACCATGATATGGCTTGGCAGGAGACTTACTCCTTTAAGTTTCTCCAAGAATTGCGTTGACGAGCTGACAGTGGTGTTCGAATCGGAGGTCAGAAACTTGAGACGTTGGAACAGCCACTTTTCCAGTCCGTAGGTTAGAGTGCCCTTTAGTGATACGATAGGCCGGAGAGGAACGCCCTCTTTGTGCACTTTTGGGAAACCGTAGAATCGGGCTAGGGCCGATTCTTCTGAACTGCTACCTGGAACTCGCCTGTTCGCTTCTATCAGCACTCTGAAAACTTTCATGCAACTATAAATCAACACGGAAACCAGGGAGGACCTCGCTTAGGACCAGCCTCCTGGACGGCAATGGTGAGTACTGTATCAGCAATAGGCCAGCCGGATCGCCGCTGACAAAGCCAAAAGAGTAGTTCGCGAGTAACAAACATCTGCATACAGCACCAACTCCCAAACGCTTCCAACGTACCCATACTGCCAAAAAACAATTCGTGTGTGGACGGACCTTGCCGGATACCTTCATATCCAGTACAACAACAACCCGACAGCTTCACCAGCTGCCTACGCAAACACCTCCCTGGGCATCCCCTGCCCCAACTCCCCTCGCAGCCCACAACGGAGGCCATCACAGCCACTACCGCTGATCTCACGTCTGGTGCTCCGCCGCCGTCGTCGACCACAACCGCCAACCCCATCGTCCCTGCGATAAACCTCACGTGGATAGCAAATACGACTACCACCCACCCAGTCCCACCGTTTTTGAGAACACTTCCTGCAGCGTATCCTGCCCGGGCTGTCAGGACATCATGCCACAAACGCGTGACAAGCGAACGATCAAGGTCATGACCCCTGTTCACACCTTCTTTGTGCTGATTGGCCACCCATCAGCCTATGACAGTCCCCTTGCCATATACACGGTCGTTTCCCCAAGCCTCCTCACTTGTGCTGTCTATCGTACTCAGTACACGTCCTGTTTCCAATTACCCTTCTGTTTTGCATACATAACATTGGCGACGCAGCCTAACGAACATGTCTTCACTGCTGCCTACACCGTTACCTTTCTGGCCAAAGAACACCCATAAGCCCTCAAATGACTCGTGGTTGCAATGGAGGAAGACATTTGAGGATTATATTGAACTACTCCCGATTTTGTCACCCACGATTGTACTAGACGTCGCATCTAAGTTGAAACTCCTCCGGACGAATCTCGGAGAGTTGAGACAACGATTTTTCGATGCCCTCAATCTTCAAAAGACTATAAGTCACCAAACAGCCTTTTCAAAACTCGAGTCAGCGTGGGGCGGAAAAGACAACGTCTTTCTCGGTCGCTATCGTTTTATCAAATGCGTCAAGAATCCAATCAATGTGTCAGTGATTTTATTACTAATCTGACTCTGGTCATCCAGGACTGTGGGTATAAAGAGATCAAGGCAGACAACTTCGAGCACGCAATGCTAGTTCAGCACTTGATCGTCGGTCTGCACAATGAAAAAGCTCGGGAAAATCTCTTATCAGAGAAGAAGGATTTGTCGTGGGAGAAAGCCTGTGATGTCGCCAGTCATCAGGAGCGCGTGCGGCAAGACCTTCAGCAGCTCAATCAGTCAAACGATGGAGTGATAGCATCCTTGGAATCGGAAATGGCTGCCTCCCTAGTCAACACTGCTGTGTTTTCACCTAGACAGCGACCCTCAGCTCCCTCAAAACACCTACCATTCTTGCTACCGTTGTGGTCAGCATCATATTCGGTGGTCAGACTGTAGACACCAGAAGACGGTATGCCAGTTTTGCAAGAAAGTCGGCCACATCGAACGAGTGTGTTTCTCCAAAAGACGAGCGAATACTAACACGCATGCGACCTACCCTAATCCAGCTGGGGATGGCGAGGCGATACTCCGAATGTTTTCGACCAACGTGCCACTCCAATCGCCCTACACCATCACGCTTCCCGTTGATCACCATCCCGTGAAGTTTGAAATCGGCACTGGCTCAGCTGGTACTCTCATCAATGAGGCCTCTCTTCAGAAATTACCCTCCCTCCTTCCGGCTAAACCAACATTCGTAGTTATACTGGACAGAATGCAGAGGTTCGAGGGGTCTTTACAACCGAAGTCGAGCATAATGGAGAACTCCATTACGTGCCGGTTTATGTGGTGATAGGAGGCCAGCAACCAAATCTCCTCGGACGGAATTGGATTAAATGTGTGTCTTCTGTACTATCCTATGTACATCGGATTGATGTAAATCCGGCTTTAGATTCAATTTTGCTAAATCATAAGGATCTATTTCGTGACGATTCTGTTACTCACTACCGCGGTCCACCTGTTAAGTTCCAGTTTCAGTCAGATTTCCGACCCCGGTTCTTCAAAGCTCGTACAGTCCCCTATGCAGTCGCACCGAAGGTCGAAGAAGAGCTAGATCGCCTACAGAAGGCGGATATTATTGAGCCCGTGCAATATTCGGAATGGGCAGTGCCAATAGTTCCTGTTCTTAAAACCGACGGTTCTGTGCGTATCTGTGGCGACTACAAGCTGAAAATTAACTCAGCAACTAAATTGAACGCTTATCCTCTCCCGCTCATCGAGGATCTGTACGCATCTCTCTCGGGTGGTCATCCATGTACAACTTTGGACTGCCTACGACCAAGTCATCCTAGATACTGAATCCCGAGACGCCACCACCTTCAGTACGCATCGGGGTTTATCTTGATATAAAAGACTACCATTTGGAGTAAGTTCGGCCCCCGGCTTATATCAAAGCTTGATTGCCAACCTCGTGAAGGATATACCTCACGTTTGCGTATACCCTGACGATATAGTAGTCACCGGCCCATCTGAACATAGTCATCTAGAGACTGTAAGCATCGTGTTAGGACGTTTAGAAGAAGCAGGTTTTAAACTCAGGAGAGATAAGTGCACTTTCCTTGTCGATTCGGTAGAATGCCTGGGCTTCAGGGTGGATAAAACTGGCCTCCATCCACTCGAACATAAACTCATAGCCTTGAAGACGGCGGCGCGCCCCAACAATACTAGTCAATTGCGTTTATTCCTGGGGTTTGGTACCCACTTTAGTCGCTGTATTAATCAGTCGGCTACGATTCTAAAGCCTCTTTATCGACTACATGAAAAGCATCGTTGCTGGAACTGGTCGGAGGTCGAACAAAGTGCTTTTGAACAGACAAAGGCGGCTTTTACCTCCTCATCTGTCCTAGCTCATTATGACCCCGAAAAGCCTATCATACTGAAATTTGATGCATCTCCGTACGGCGTCGGTGCGGTTCTCATGCACCGAATGCCTTCTGGTGCCTAGATGCCGATTGCCTTTGGATCAAGAACCATGTCACAGGCGGAAACCAGCTATTTGATGGGACCCCGACGGGTCTTTAATAAAAATAATCAAATAATTAGATAAAGAGTCTTTAGCAGTAATGTTTGGCCTACATCGCTTCCACCTGTATCTTTTTGACCGACCTTTTGTGATTCACACTGATCGCAAACCCCTATTAGGTCTGCTGAGAGAAAAACGAGGAATACAACAGATGTCCTCGCCGAGAATGCAACAATTGGCACTCACCCTGTCTGCTTACACGTATGCAATGATATACGTAACAGGTAGTGCAAAAATAGTGGCTGACGCCTTGAGTAGGTTTCCTATTGTCAGTCAGTCAGTCAGTCAGAGTACTTGAGGGAAATAGGCTTACGCCTGTGAACTCCCTATTTGTACATTAAAAAAATCGATAAATAAGCAAAAATGTGAAGAAATTACAGCATTAAGTGAATGCATACATTGATTCACATATGTCACTAGTCACATGGCTAAAAAGTCACATGATCCGCTTGTTGCTGCAGCATATATCTGTCAAGGCGACATTTAAATGTCTCCACAGACTGAGACATAACAACTGTCTCGGGCAGGTTATTCCACGGTTCCACGACACGGTTGGAGAAGAAATATTTTCTCACATTCAGTCTACCCTGTGGCACACGTAGCTTGAAGGGATGTCCCCGTAGGTGAGTTGTAGTGGCGAGTTGGAAAAATTCATCGCACCGAAGGGCACAATCCAAGCCGCGCACGATACGGAAAGTTTGTATCATGTCTCCGCGCAACTGCCTATAACTCAGAGGATAGAGATTAAGGTTAATTAAGCGGATCTCGTAGGGCAGTGCACTTTGACCTCTTATTAATTTTGTTGCTCGTCTCTGCACCCTTTCGAGCAGATCGTAATCCTGATGCGTTCACGGTCTCCAGGCCTGAATCGCATATTCGAGATGGGGCCTTATAAACGTGCCGAAGACTTTGGTGAAGCAGTCTTTATCGAAAACTACGAATGCCCGTTTGATGGCATATAGCATTGAGGTTTCGGCCTTGGCCACCTTACAGCATTGTGTAGAAGGCTTTAGGCTGTCTGCAACCCAAACTCCGAGATCTTTCTGAGTTTCTGCTTCTCGGAGTGGCATTCCTTTCGGATGTTATTGCCGCGTACTAGGGGTCTGATTTCCAAGGCGCAGAATGGTGCATTTGTTCAAATTGAAGGACAAGCGCCATCTGCGGGACCACTCGTCCAATCGACAAAGATTTTCTTGGAAGTTGGTCTCATCGGCAGCATTCTGGATAACTTTCCAGATTTTTATGTTGTCCGCAAACATGGCGCAATCACAGTCCAACCCATCTACACAATCATTGATGAACAAGAGAAAGAGGGTTGGTCCGAACACCGAGCCTTGTGGGACCCCACTCTCTATGTATGTGCACCTTGATTGCTGTTGTTCTACGCAGACAATTTTGGAGCGGCCGACAAGGAAATTTTCGATCCATTTGAGAAGTTTGCCACCGATGCCCATAATTCTCAACTTGTGTAGAAGACGCTGGTGCGGAACACTGTTAAACGCCTTCCGGAAATCAATATAGGCAACATGCACGGTGTGTTTTGTGTCCAGTGCTCGTGTCCAACTTTGCATTGTGTATAGCAAGTTCGTAACACATGATCTTCCCCTTACGGAAACCATATTGTGCATTGGACTAGAGGTTGTGGGTTTCCAAGTAAGCCATCAACTCCTTTTTGATGGTTTTGTCCATCACTTTGCAGCAGATTGATGTCAGACTGACGAGTCTGTAGTTTGTCGCCAGAGCACGACTACCGCTTTTGTAAAGGGGTGTAATGTGGGCCGTCTTCCAGTCTGTGGGAAGGATTCCAGCATCAAACGATTTCTGGCACAGAATGGATAGTGGCTTGGCCAGCTGTTGGGCCAGCTGTTGTGGACGATGGCCTCAATGGGGCACCTGTTTTTCAG